CTTATTAGATCAAAGAGGTTATTATGTAGGTATGTAAAATAACGAAATAAACCATTCCCCAAATTTGGTAATTTTTCGTATCTATATATACCGTTATAAAACCGTTTTGGTTAACCGTAAAAAATACTTTAAAGTTGACAGTAGTAAATTTGTCAAGAAAGTATTTAATAGGTAGGTACTTTTGTATTTTTGTATTGAGATAATAAAATAATTTTCACATTTAGTATTATTTTACACAAAGGCACTTATTTTAACAATTGTATGACATTTGACAACTCTCAAATAACTTAAAACTAACTTAAGCCAGTGACTAAAAACCTGTTGCTTACTTTAGCCTGTGACTAAAGCGCCATAAAGCCACAACTTGCCAATGTGTATTTAAAAGGTCACGATTTTATTTATCATTAACTCAAAAGGTAAGCACAAAAAGTGCTGAAAACCCAAAACTGGTAGTGGATATTTATATTTTCTTTACTTTTTAAGACAGTGTCAGTAGTAAACTGATTTGCTCCGCCCAATTGGCGCGAATCCAATGACAAAATTAATGAAAACTTGACGCTAACTCGGTTTATGTTTTGTCGTTTCAAAAACTAAAATTAGAAAACGGAATAATTATTATCATATGTATACCTACTAGCTACTTTGCAAAACTATCTATTTTCTTAATTAAAAAAAAATGCACTAAACACTAAAGCTTTTTTACCTAGGTTTTAATTGATCGGCGAAATTTTGAAAGGACACAACTATTATTTATAAAAAAATAGAATACGAACTTTCTTCGTATCAACTACATATCTACCAAGTAGGTAGGTACTATATTTATTAAAGAATTTTTCATATTTTAAAATCATCTAAATATAGGAAGAGCTTTTCATTTTCTCTGCTCGAGAGTTTCCCTCGTTTGCTCCGAGGGAAAATGCTTTTCCTAAAAAAGGAATGTTTTTTAAAATATATTAATAGAAATTGTAGAGCGCATTTATGTTCCTTTCAACGACGGAAGTTATTTTGCATGTTTCCTATTGGTAGGACAAAAAAGTTTTAAGCCAAAAAAAATGTTCAACATTATTATTTGTTAACATGCAAAACTTTCTGTAGGTTTATTTTATTCAAATCGTTCAAGTACCGTCGATCGCTAGAAATGTGGTGACGATGCACCATGGTTTATCGGCGGAAAAAATACATGTATTTTTAAAAACTTTTTATTATGACGATGTTTTGTTACAAACATGTTAAAGCAATAGATTTTGGAAAAGAAATATTTTTAGATAATTATGTTTTGATTTTATGACACCTCAAAGTAAAATGTTTTTAAAACAGTAAAATTGGCTAAAAATTACGCACACATTTAATATACCTAGTTTATCTTTTAATCGAACAAAAAAAATGTATATTTTTTTAAGTAAGTTCAAGGTACACCTTAATCTATATAAAAATTCTTATTTGAATCAAAAAATAAAAATTAAAAGTTGCCTATAACGTTTTAAAGAAACATTGGTAAAATTAAGAGAAAAAAAATCATATTTATATGCTTATAAGCATTTAACTACGATTGCCTCCGATTTTCACGTTGATATCTACATGAGGTTGTTTAGTAAACTTTACATTATAAGTACACAAAAAATTAGCTACGTATACGCACATATGGAAAAGTTATGATTTGTTATTTATCGCGCTGCATGGCTAAATCGCAGGCATTGTCTAAGCACTCAAGATTTTCGTACCCACAGATCTACGCTCGTAAGTTTTAGTTGGATTTATTAATTATTATAAATAAATAATAAATAAATTATTATAAATATTTTAACATGTATTAATTAATTAATTAAATATTAATTAAATATTATTAAAAAATATATACAAAGTATACTTATCCTATGGGATTAATAATTAATTACCTATTTATAACAAATTATTAAGTATAAATTAATTAATAATCCCTTGTTTTGCATCTTTAAAGGTAAAAACAATTAGGTAAAACAATACTTTCTGAGGAAGCTCAAGAATCTAAAAATAAGGATTTTAAAAAATTTCGATATAGGTATGTACCTATAGAGTATACTCTCTATAAATGAATTAGTCAAAAATGTACACTTGTACCTGGTTTAACCATGGTATACCATGGTATCCCAAAATTTAACAGCCAATTCTAATGTAAAATTGTCCCCTGCGAAAATGACGTCAAAAGTTAAAAAAGTAGCCCAGTTTTTTAGATATATTCAATTTTGCATTTAATATGTAATTGACTATTTCTCAAAAACTTATCCACTTTTATAATTTTTGACGGTATTTTCGGATTCAGCTGAAAATTTTACATAAGAATTGGCTGTTAAATTTTGTGATACCATGGTATTCCATGGTTAACCATGGTACAAGTGAAAAAGCAGCCACTAATAACTATTAAATAAGTCATTTTTGACTAATTCATTTTTAGAGAGTAGGTATGTTTTCGAGAAAAACAAATCGAAAATCAACAAACGAGGATATATTTTATCTTCTGACGTTACTTAAGTAATTAGGAGAAATACAAAATTTGTAAAATATATGCTTGATGAATTCTAAAGAAGTTAAGGAATTATTAATGGAATAAATGTTAAAATTCAAATTATACATAAACATATTATGTTTATTTATTTCTTAAAGTGTGCAAAAATATACAAAAATATGTATTTATTTACAAAAACAAAATTATTGAATTATGTTCGTAATCGTTTCACCGCGAACATCTAAAAACGCATTTAAAAAATAAAGACCTTTATTTTTTTTATTAAAATATAGTTAAATATACCTACCTATTAAGTCTTATTTAACACATTAAAAAATAAAAAAAATAAATATTTCTATGCAGTAAAAAAGTAAAAGACCTAATAGGTCCTATTTAACAAAGTAAAAAAAAAATAGGTACCCAAGTTTTTGCAATAAAAAAATAATTGGGTTATTTCTGCAATTGACGCTCTATGAACATCTAAAAAAGCATTTAAAAAATAAAAAACTTTTGATTAAAATTAGTTAATATACGTAATAACACAATAAAGAAAGAAAAAATTAATACCTATTTATTTGTAATAAAAAAGTTATTGATTTTTTTCCGCAAAACGCTGCTTTTTTACCTTAGTGCAATGGTTCCAGGAATAGTTTTTTTATGAAAAAATACTGAATATAAAAGTTGAGAAACTTCTAGTCGGTGACCCAACATCGATCCCGACTTCTCACGAGCTGGCACGAACCGCCTTATAACGTGACGTCATAATAATAATCCGGTTTTGTTCCCCGAACATACAATATTTGTTGTCAAGCTAAATAGCTTAGATGGTAGGGCGTTTGCTTTGCATGCGAGAGGTCCCGGGTTCGATCCTCAGAAGTTGTCATATTTTTTTTACTTTTTTATTTCATAAATTTGTTGTTCCTTTGTTAAAAAGTGTTTTATTTTTATCGTAACATAAATTTGCCCATTTTAGTTGGGTTTTTTGCTCAATGGGGCGGGGGGGGGGCCAATGGGGCGGGGTCGGTTGGGTTGTGTTGTTGAGTTTGGGTTGGTTTGGTTTTATTACGTAACTAACGTGCCCTTAACATGTATACAGGTACAATTTATTATTATATTATTGTTGTGCCGCCAATTTTAAATGATAATGATGCATTGTATAATATATAATAAATTCTTTGTCCAGTCGGGATCAATGTTGGGGCACCGGCTAGAAGTTAGTTAAAAGTTGTACCTACATCTAAAAAACATCAATAACAAATATATAAAGGTTTAATATCAAAATATACCTACCTAAGCTTTAAAATTATTTCTGTACGAGCTAACGTAGATTTCTTACAAACTACGTGTTCAAAAAATGCTTATCTGCATCTAGCGTGTGTGTGGATTCAGCCGCCTTCCGAGATTATTCATTTATCAAAATTGTTCAAAACAAAACAATAAATTTAAAACGTGCTTATTAATTTATTTATAAACATTTTAGAAAAATGCTGTCATTAGGCTATTTTAGAATGTTTTACTTATGTAGTTAATAAGTTAAATTTGACAATAAAATAAGATTCCTTGGTCTATTTACTAAATTTTTTGTCTTTTGCTTTTTATGATATTTTGCTTCGTTTAAAAGTTATTAAGGAAAATAAGTCTAATTTAACAACATAAATGTATGGGATATTTTCCTTAATAACTTTTAAACGAAGCAAAATATGAAAAAACTCAAGAATAAATTAGTAAGACCAAATGTTAATAAATTTTTTGCTGAAGGGAATTTGGGGGTAATTAATAACAAAACGCCCAAATATTACTATTTTCTGAGATGCCTACAGTGTAAAATATTGTTTAAGATTTCTTTAATATCTTCTGAATTTCATCCAGTGTCTTTAACCCCTCATAACTTTTTTCGCGCACGCCGCTGGTTAATTTTAACAATAAAATAAGATTTCTTGGTCTATTTACTAAATTTTTTGTATGTTTTTTTTTATATCTTGCTTCTTTATTTAGGAAAATTAGTCCAAATTCACACCAGAAATGCATGGCATTTTTTGTTTAACTTGGCATATTTTCTTCATTTTAAACGAGGCAAGATATAAAACAAACTAAACAAATTAGTGAGACCAGATTTTACTGTTATTAGCCTATTTTAAAATTGTTTACTTTGTTAATAGGTTTACTTTAAATGGGGATACGATAAGCAGCTATCAATTGAATACAACGATTTTTTGCTATAATTTAAAATTTTGATAACTTTAAGTTCATATATCTCCTAAAATAATGATTTTAGAGATTCAAATTAAATGACCTTTTTTGTAGAAGACTAAATTTATGACAAAAAATTCTATTTACTTTTTTCTCTGAAGTCAACCGTTTGCAAGTAACTGTTATCATCAAAAAACAAACCATATTATTGTTGACAAATTAATGTTAAAATTAGCAAAACTTTTTAAATATAAATTAAAATAATTTTTTTATAGCAAAAATTAGACTGTATATTGTAGGTAGATTGTTTGATTTCACATTTCTGTAAAATTTGGTGAATTTAATAATTGAGAAAACATTAAAAATCTGTCAGTAGAATTGTCAAAATAACTTCAGGTAGAAGCATTTTCGGAAAATTATCGTGAAAAAATGCCAATAGTATGAACAAAACAACCATCTCCAGAGAATCTAGTGAATGCAAGTTTAGAAGCAAAGAATATATCGGTTTGCAGAACCTCTTTTTTCAAAATACTCTCTAATTTTTTCTTTGCTACTTTTAGGTAAAGTTTGTAGGGACCTTATAGAAGACTTATTGAGGGTGACATACGACGAAGAGAATCCAACGACTACGGCCTTAATGAAAACCTCAAATTGCACCCAAACCAAATCCTAGAAATTTGGAAGATGGTCGAATTAAAAAAATTGCGATTCAAAAACTACCCAAATCCCAATAGTGAGCTCAACTTGAACCCGGACGAACTTCAAGTGGTTAATCGGGAAGAAGAAGAAATTTCCACGCCCGAAACATTTGATTATCAAGAAAATTTAGACGATAGCGAGTCTGATTATGACGATATTTTTTTAGATACCGATCCGACTAAGTTGAACGAATCCTTGTTGCAAATTACGCAAACTTTAAGAGAATTCGTGCTACGTAGAGGCAACCTAAACATGCCAGAGGTAAACCTGGAAAATTTAAGCGACATCCCTCCAGATTTACGCGTGGTTGCCTACCTATTATCGCAGGGTGACAACCGAAGAGTCGAAGATTTACTAAGAACCGTCCATCAAAATGTCGTAGTCAATGTTAACCTATCGTACTACTTCAAAATTATGTTGATCATGTTAACTTTTAACAGTTTGCTCCTCTTTAAGTTGATTGTGTGGGACCAAATGCCTTTTTGAGTTAAAAAAAAAGTTGAGAAATTATGTTGTAACCGAATAAAACTGTTTTGCTAAATTGCGGGTTTATTTTAATATTTTTACAAACAGTTAAATAGGTAGGTATGTCTTAATAAAATGTAGGTAGAACCCACAATCGTTGTGTGGATTGTGGTAGAACCTACCAGCATGACTTTTTTAAACCAATTTAAAATAGTCTCGTGATACTTTTTTTTGTTTGCTTCGTGTTAGTAAGTATAGGGGTTTAAATTGATTAAGGGTAATTAATAACAATATTACAAATATTACTTATTTCTGAGATACAGAGTAAAGTTTACACTGTAAAACATTTTTTCTTTAATTCTTGTGAATTACATCCAATGCCTTTAACCCACATAACTTTTTTCTCGCACGCCGCTGGTTAATTGTGACATTAAGATTCCTTGGTCTATTTCCACATTTTTTGTTTTTGCTTTTTTTGATATCCTTCGTTAAAAAGTTATTAATAAAAATAATTTCACACAATTTTTTGTTAAATTTGGCACATAATTTTTAACCGAAGCAAGATATGGAAAAAAACTAAAGAACAAATTATTAACACCGAATTTTAATAAATTGATTGCTGAAGGACACTTTGTGGGTAATTAATAACAAAACACCCAAATAGGTAGTACCTACTTATTTCTGTAACAAACAATTTTTTAAGATTTTCTTTAATATCATGAATTACCTACATCCAATGTTTTTAACCCCAGATAAGTTGTTTCTCGCACGCCGCTGGTTAATTTTTAAAGTTTTGAAGTTTATTTTTTTTTATCTGGACTGCGGCAACGTTGCCAATTTAGGGGTTTGGTTGATAAATACGGAACCAAAATTGATTAAAACAAACTAAACTAGTTATAAGTGTAATTATAATGTAATAATTGTGGTTATGTTTAAAGGCTTTGTTATCTATGGTTTAAATTATTGTAGGTTACATTGAACGGTTTAGTAAAGTTGAGTCCCGTTAAGTTAAGCTTTAGTGGTGCGTAGATGATTAAAATAGGTAAAATCATATAAAAAAGTAGTTAAACATAGGTGACCACGGCCCAGGAGAGACAAAGTATTCCTTCGCTTTGAAAAGAATTTAGGTAGGTAGGTATACCTATACAAGAAATTAAAATTTGATGTGAACACACTAATCTATTAGCTGGCCATACACAGACGTTATTAGCTGGCCATACACAGACGTTATTTCGCGCGGTTTATCGTGTTATCTGCAAAAATATATGGAAAATCATGTACGTGAGTGAGTATCGCCGCGCGCAATGATAGAACGGGAAGGGATTTCAGACGTGCTTTCCTCTGGAGTGTGGAGTGTCCACACGCCACATTCAGCGTCACGGTTTACCTTTGCTTGGCAAAATTTCACGTTGAAAATTTGTACATGATCATATGCAGTTTCAAACGACTCGATAAATGACACTTTTTGCCCACTCACATAAGATTTTTCCTTTGAAACTGATATACCACGGGCAATCACTTGCTAAATCATTTGAATACTTTATCAAGTGTATGGAACATGACGCTTTTTTTGCCATGCTGTTCTTTCGTGCATACTAACCGCTACATCCCAACACGCCACGATAAACCGCGCAAAATAACGTTATGTATGGCCAGCTATTAGCTAATAGCTATTAGCTAATAGCTGGCCATACACAGGCGTTATTTCTTCCAACTTTTTATAGTTTTAATTAGTGTATAAATCTGAGTTAAAACAAAAATTCTGCATAAAACGCCCTTGATTTTTTAGCAAAATTTTAACTGGCCTTCAAAATTTGCCGCCCCTAAAAATTTGCCGCCCCTAAAAATTTGCCGCCCTGGGCCCGGGCCCATGTGGCCCATGCCTAAATCCGGCCCTGGTTCCATACACTTGATAAAGTATTCAAATGATTTAGCAAGTGATTGCGCGTGGTTTATCAGTTTCAAAGGATAAATAGCTGGCCATACACAGACGTTATTGCGCGCGGTTTATCGTGTTATCTGCAAAAACATATGGAAAATCATGTACGTGAGTGAGTACCGCCGCGCGCAATGATAGAACGGGAAGGAATTTCAGACGTGCTTTCCTCTGGATTGTGGCGTACATCATTTCAGCAGTGTCCACACGCCACACGCCACATTCCGCGTCACGTGACACTTTTTAGCCACTCACATACGATTTTTCCTTTGAAACTGATATACCACGCGCAATCACTTGCTAAATCATTTGAATACTTTATCAAGTGTATGGAACATGACGCTTTTTTTGCCATGCCGTTCTTTCGTGCATACTAACCGCTACATCCCAACACGCCACGATAAACCGCGCAAAATAACGCCTGTGTATGGCCAGCTAATCGTATGTGATCACTCGAGTGGGCAAAAAGTGTCATTTATCGAGTCGTTTGAAACGGCATGTGATTATGTACAAATTTTCAACGTGAAATTTCGCCAAGCGAAGGTAAACCGTGACGCGGAATGTGGCGTGTGGCGTGTGGACACTGCTGAAATCCAGAGGAAAGCACGTCTGAAATACCTTCCCGTTCTATCATTGCGCGAGGCGATACTCACTCACGTACATGATTTTCCATATATTTTTGCAGATAACACGATAAACCGCGCGCAATAACGTCTGTGTATGGCCAGCTAATGTTGTCCAATCATTGGACTCCAATGGTGAATGGTAGGTATTTTGTTAAAGCTTACTTAATAATAATTATAATGTATATATGTATTGTCCAGGACTATTAATGATCAGTAACTTGCAAATTGAAAGAAGAAAAAGTTTCGTGATTATTGCTAATCTTTTTCAAACCAAATGGATGCTATTTTCAAAGACAGGAAAATTAACTAACTACCTACCTACCTACTAGATTGTTCACAAAAAGGTTGAACCTAACAGCAAATAATTTTTATTTTATGTTTTTTTTATTTTTTTAAATTTCAAAAATTTTTGCTCTGCTTAGCCGAGTGCTTAGCTGAAAAAATGTGTGATTTACTTTAGAATATGAAATTATTTTTGGCATAGGTATCTTTTTATATCGATATTATATAATAATTAACAAGTAAATTATCATTAATAAGTACTATTAGAAATGCAGTAATACTGTATTACTGTAAATTTGACAGTGTAAGTCTGACACTGTCACTGACACTGTCAGAGTATTTAATTAGGGTCTTCAGTAGAAGTACCATTTTTAACTAAATTAAACTGTCATAGTCTACCAACTTAATAAAAAACACGAGTCCAAATAAAAAAAACGAACTGTAATATTTCTTGGTCTTTTTACTACACTTTTTGTCTCTTGTTTTTTTTTTAAATACTAAACATACTAAAATAAACTGGCATAGGCTACCTACAAACTTAATAAAAAAACGAGTCCTATTTAAAAAAAATGAACTGTAAAATTCCTTGGTCTTTTTACTACACTTTTTGTAGGTATCTACCAACTTCATAAAAAACACGAGTCCAAAAAAAAAACGAACTGTAATATTTCTTGGTCTTTTTACTACACTTTTTGTCTCATGTTTTTTTAATTTTGTCTCATGTTTTTTTAAATACTAAACATACTAAATTAAACTGGCATAGGCTACCTACAAACTTAATAAAAAAACGAGTCCTATTTAAAAAAATGAACTGTAAAATTCCTTGGTCTTTTTACTACACTTTTTGTACCTATCTTGTTTTTTTATATCTTGCATCGTTTAAAAGTTATTAAGAAAAATAAGTAGGTAAGTCCAATTTGACACCAGAAATATTAAATTTGGCAAACTTTAAAAAAAAGCAAGATATGGAAAAAAACTTAAGAAAAATTAGAAAGGAGACCAAATTTTAATTGAAAGTCAAAAATTTTTTAAAATAGGAGGTATTAATTTGAAGCCTACATCATATTTAAAATTTTTCCGTCGGAAACATTCAACCATTATAATAGATACTTTATGAATGCATTTAAAACCCCCATTTAATTTTAGAATAAACGTAAATACAAAAATACCTAAATATAGACCAAAGTTTAATTAATAACTTTAAATTATCAACAAAAACAACAAACAATTAGTATATAAATATTAAACTATATAAACTTAATAAATTTAGAATAAAAACCGCGCAAATTTAAACAAAATCCCTTTAAATTCAAACCGGAAGTAGTCAATAAAACAAAATGCGTTATAGGAAGTTCTAGAAGCTTAGAGGGCCATGGACTTACATTTGGGGTAGGTTCCTTATTGTATCGATTTTCCCCCGGAAAAAAAACAATAGCACGCACTTTTTATTAACACTGTAGAACTTATTGTAGCAACAATTCACTTTTTCACTGTAAAATCAAGTAGGTGCCCCAATGGCACAAAGGCTTATTGCAATTGTTTATTATGAATATTAACAAAACACAACAAACAACTTTTGTTTATAAACAAAACAACACCGTTTAACCTAACACGCGCGATTTTCGAACTACTAATGTTTTTTTTAGTATGGAAATGCTTTTTTGGGCAAAAAGCTCCGTGAATCGTCGAAAACTTACATTATCCGTGATTAACTGAAAGTAGGAGCTTTGGAATCCCATGCAACGATGGCTTTCGCTTGCGTTCGGTTAAGTTCGGTTTTGTCCCGCCGACGTGAAGGCGGAACTCTGTTGGATGGCTCCTTGGGTGAGGATACTTTCCGAGTTTGGATTGGATGGGTTGGGATTTTACGGATTTCAAACGACTTTTTAACTGGGAAATTATTTTTTGATACTTTGGTGCTGGTTTTTTAAATTTAAGATTCTAATATTACCCGATTTTTCCGTTTATAAAACTGTTTTAGAAATCGAATAAAAAAACACCTATACCTATTAAAAAAAACACAATCAAGTTGTAGCTTAGTTATTAATAGTCATTAAAAAATGTCTGTTTTGAAAAGAAATGCCAGACCAATAGAAAACGAGATAAAACTTTTTCAACTTCAAAACATGGCAATCTTAATAAAAATATTATTAAGTATGGTTACTGGGAATTATATATTTTTTTATCTGTGGTTAGTTTAAATAATATCTTGCGGTGTTATGTCTTG